GAATGCTCCCCGGGGAGTGGAGATTGTTAAGCACTGAATCCAATGACCGGGGTAATAGTATATTTGTAAAGCGCTTAGAGACATTTGTATTAAGCGCTATATAAAAATTAAATATTTGTATTATTTATTATTTATTAGATCTAGGCCTAGTCTAGATCTAGATCTATGTGTGTATGAAACTCACTCCAGCAAAGCATAGAGAGTCATAGACCGAATTTTCAGTCTCTTTCGTTCGTTAGCCTCTTATTGAGGTAGGGTCGGCTCTCTCTTTAGTGACGGAAGCCGACTATACAGTCATTTTCAAACACCAAGGCCATTTATGCATTTTATGGCCATATTGTTATGCCCCGAAAATCCCCCCAAATTTCATTTTACCTCGTGCATGTTAGGCCTAGGCTATAATAAATCGGTTCCACCTACCAACTTGACTGAAATAATCCGTTTAATGGTCCCTTTTTAGAAAATTATGGGTCAAAATAGAAATCTATGTTGAAAATCTTGCAAGACGTATTTTAAACTCTCGCTGCGCATGACATCATCTAAACACAAAAACACAAACACCTATACACAAATATACACACCACACAATATTGCATAGACTGCACACAATAGGACCGATTGGGCTGATCGGCAAATTTGACACTAGACCTAGACACTAGGCCTAGGCCTATCAGATAGATCTAGACTTAGTAGGGAGGCCAATGCCCAGGCATAAGGCTTCTACGCCTACGATTTGTGCGCTCGTCGTCCAAGTCAGAAAATTACAAGAAGAAAAAAAAAGGGAAAAAAAAGAAAACAAATATCTATGGAATAAAATCTATAACAAATACACAATTGTACACTCCACAACATACCTATAATCACGGATCTGTCATGGTCTTTCAACATTTGTTGACGATCTTGCAGATTCAAGTGTCGAGCTCGTACAGTAAGTCATATATGAAAAAAAAATTAAAAAGATATTTCAGTAAAAAAATGTCTACGTGAGCAGTCATACTCCAATTGAGAAGTTAGGATGGAAAGATATGATTGGATGATGTGATTGTGAGTGCGTGATAAATGGTTAGTTGTCGCGTACAGCTTAGAGAGAGAGAGAGAGAAAGAGAGAGAGAGAGAGAAAGAGAGAACGAGAGATCCAGGTACTACGTATATGTAGTACGTACGTATGTGCGATATGCATGTATATGTGGTAGTATCATGTGTAGCGCAATGAGTGTGAGCTGCTGCATGGATTATGGAGGTCGTTCTTGTTGATTGTACAGTAGATCTCCGACTGAAATCATAATGAATATTCATGAGGAAATCAAGTTATTGGAATATCAATCAAAGGTAAATTAAATATTAATGAATTAGATCTAGTTCTCTCTTCTTTTTTTACTCGTAGATGTAGTAGTCGTACTAGACTGAAAGCTTAAGTCTCTATATTGTCGGTTGTTCCACTGAGACTACGTCTGGCTCCACTAGACCTCCAGATATAGAGACTGAACGATCGCCTATGCCATCGAACGTTGAAGATACACTCTACGGGTATACGATAAGACGATACTGCCCTGACGCTAAGTTAAATCCTTTTTTTGTAAGAATCGCATGCACTTACATATACAATTGGCATTTAGAATTAAATCACACATGATAAATACTGGTAAAGACCAGTATTGGAAACGCCCCAATTTCAAAAAAATGAAATGGAAGCTCTCATTACCAATCATGTGAAAGAATATGTTTTGACTAATACATGATGATAAAAAATTTGCCGGGAAACCGCCTACTAATTTGTAAATTTGTTTCTCTCATGGTCTGTGAGAGATATAGGGTAGTCCCATATACATCTTTCTGTGTATAGTGCTTGTAACTTTACGAAGAATGGGCCAAATTTCTTATCATTTTGATGATTCCAGAACCTTGCAGATGCTAGATGCTAGATGATCAACCTTTTCTGATTGATTCCACGTTTCTTTCACAATGCAATCGCATGACCATAACTGGTCTTTACCTTTAAGAAAATATGTACTGTACCTTGGACCTCTGCATATGAAATCTTTATCAAAAAAGTGTTATTATCTCTTCCACTTGACTGTCTTCAGACGTCAGCCATCTTGAATCAAAGTAATGAATATTCATGACAAAGTTTTTTAGTCTCCACCCCATTGACCTCATTCATAGACGTGTGCTTACGTGCACGTACATGTACATCACGCATCGGAAATGCATGGTGGATAGCTAGCCGAGGCGAGGTCAACCATCCTCATTATCGTATTTGAATATTCATTAGCCACCATTTTGATTTCTGTCGGTCAGAATGCTGGACGTGGGTCATCGAGAAGCAGCCAAAAGCTCGGTAAGTCCTTTTATTTCTTTTATATTTCTATTTCATGGGAAAGGGGGGTAAAAAGGGAACTTTTAGGGACTGACAATTGCCTAGAAAATTACTGCAATTGAAGATAAATGATGTACTTCTCCTCAAGTTTGTCATGTTTGTTGGAGGGGCCTAACGGCTAAAATCTAGCCGTGATATCTTCAACATACGATGGCAAAGGCGATCGTTCAGTCTCTATATCCGGAGGTCTAGTGGAGCCAGACGTAGTCTCAGTGGAACAACCGACGATATAGAGACTGAAGAGTTTTGGTCTTAATTACCGCCTTAATTTCAAAATCGGATCTGAAAATAACAGAATAAGAGCAATTTTCTTACCAGACCGATACAGCTCAGCTCCCTTTTCACGTGTACCGTGTGAATTCACGATGTCTACACAATGGTGATGACCTCTGACTGGCACTTCCGTAATTGTGGGTAAATTGTGCTGCTTCCGTATAATGCGCTGTATGAGTGTTATTCAGCGCATTATACGGAAGCAGCACATTTACGAAGTGCGAGTCAGAGGTCATAACCATTGTGTAGACATCGTGAATTCACACGGTACACGTGAAAAGGAAGCTGAGCTGTATCGGTCTAGTAAGAAAATTGCTCTTATTTTGTTATTTTCAGATCCGATTTTGAGATTAAGGTGGTAATTAAGACCAAAACTAAGACAAAATTTATCAAAGCCACTGTCCAATATTGGTCGGGTGCGCGAAAGTGTGATTTTGGACCACTTTTGAGTTTTGTTTACATGCCTCTCCGTGCAGGGGTATGGGAGCAAGTTAAGGCTCTCTCGAATAATATTAAAAAAACATTTCGAGAGAGCCCTTAAGGCTAGTACGGCCAGGCGTAGAAGGAAAGGCATATAAAAGAGCTGGATATCTCCTATTTTATGGAAACTCTGGAGTCGGCAGATGGGTGAGTTGTCTTAGTGAAAGAAAATCCTTTCGTTTAATGTTTGTTTTATTATTGTAGTGATTCAGCCTGAGCCAATACGGCTCTGGCGGGTATATGCGCGCAAGTCCCGCATTTGGCGACACCCGCGGTAGTTTTCCTGGCCATATCCCATACTGGGTAGGTTAGATTGAACCTGAGACTGCACGCGACAAACACTGTTGATTGCCCGTCTCTTCTGTCTCTTCTGTCTACTACTACTAGCGACGGTGGAGCTCCACTCAACGAGCAACACTTCAAGTGCTTCTTGAGACAGACTTCAAGTAGGGTGTCTGAACGATTTTTCAATTTTCAATTTGGGATCATTTTTCACCATTTTTGTTTGATATTTGAATAAAAAGTGTAATCAGAATAATACATTTCAAATTTGAAGCTTCACCGATGTTTCAATCAAAAGATACAGCCCCTCCAAAATGCTGGTATATTCATATCATTTTGGTCAAAATCGACGAAAAAGACGTCCACGCAGAGTGATGTTGTTTTGCTAAATTTAGCCAAACAGCTGTATCGCGCGATATGCAAGCGTATGCATATCGTACGCATGCTGCTAAGCCAATGCGCGACTTGCAAGCTTGAGCTACGCTGTCTCCGCAACACGTGCCATTGACTAGTATGGTTAGCGTTCGTCGCACAAAAAACCCGGAAGTGAATGCACGTTATAGTCAATGGCAATATCGCGGAGATGTCTCCGCGATATTGCCATTGACTATAACGTGTATTCACTTCCGGGGTTTATGGTGGGAACGGCCATCCATACTTTCATTCACTATAAGCGCACATGTTACGCGATGTAACCATGGTTTGGACTGAGCGGAGCTCACGCCTCCCTAATTAGCTGATTCCAAAAATGTGGGAAGGGTATTTTTAAACTGTTGGGGCGAGTGATCTCTTGGGGCTAGCGAAAAAATAAGTGCATACATATTTTCCTTACGTCTAGCCGGACATAAGCCCGGGGGGCGCAGCTCAGGAAAGTGGCAAATTTTGGAGCTAGGATGCAAACAACATTTAAATCGCTGTTTTGACCAAGATATTTTTAGAATTTCGGGGGTGCGCCCCTTTGGGGAATATGGAGAAAAACCTGCTCTTTCATATGACACCTCATTTATTGAGTTTTACCTTCAGGATCACAGGCCCCAAAGGTTTGAATTTCAATTTTTTTCATAAAATCATTGACCAATTTTCATGGTCGCGCAATGCACGTAGACTGCATAGGGATGCGTGCAATCTCTATGGGAAGTATTTTAGCACACAACATCGGGTGCGCGATCAGACACCCTACTTCAAGCAGTATAGTATACAGCCTATGGTAGGATAAATCCTTATTATAGTCGTTTATGTAATTGTAGTTAAGATTTAGGCCCAGTAAGTTAATATTCCGCTCCATCACTACATTATAAACAAATTCGTAATTAAAAAGTTAGATTTGGGCATTGGCCTCCCTAGACTTCTAAGTTCTAGATCTAACTTACAATTTGAATTTTTGAATTATTCTTTTTAACATCAGTAAGTTGGAAAAAAATGTATTTTACTGCTATTTAGGTGTCATCAATTGTCACTAAAGTACCGATTTTGAGTAAAATCAGTTGAGTTTTGTACAGTGGTGTTTGAAATGTTGAGAATCAAAAGCACAGCTTTTACTACACAGCCAGGGTAGACGCTCCTAATCCTATGTGTGTATGAAACTTACCTTCTTTTAGGAATACGAGGTCCGCGTCCGTTCACTCCAGATTCCTTCCCCATATTATCAGACAGCTCACTGCAGTTTTTCTTCTCTAGTTTATTTACCTGACTATGTATACACGTTCCATCTTTATTTTGGTCTGGCGGAGTGGACAAATGCCCTAAAATGTTATCTATTCGACGATTCGATGCCATGTTGCCTTTATATGTAACGTAGAACACAGTTCGTGGGACTTACATAGAATCTAGACTATGTTTGCCAGGCCGGCTATACCACCCGAGGCCGAGTTTGTTAATACCCAACAAACATGCGAGTACTCTTTATCAGGATATAGCGTGCGAGCGAAGAGTTTTAATACAGAGAGTGCCGACTCGCTGAAACAAGGCGGCACGCAGACACAACGTAGTACTAGTATTAAAGTAGCAAGAGTAGTAGTAACCGCCGAGATTGCTAGACAAGTGCTCCTTTTCCTGTGTAAGAAGCATGGGCGTCAATCCTTTCGTATATTGTTCAGGGGGGATGATCTATTCATTCATCCCCCTGAACAATAGGTATTACGTAAGGATTGACGCCCATGGTAAGAAGTGCCCATTCCCCTTCAAAGAAGTGCCCCTTTCCAACTCTGATATATGTACCTTTTATTTTGAAACGTACCCCTTTTATTTTCTGATAAATCCCTCGTCATGCCCCTATTTTCTTTTAATAAAAGCCCTATAGCTTCCAGCTAGCTTTTATTAAATGCTCCTTGTCACCGTCACTGAACCTGTCATAAACTGACAGATCACTATTGATGATGATTAAAATATGATGGGTGTCCCTATATACTGTTGTTTCTTTATAATAAGTGCCCCTTTTCCATTCTCATGAGTGTCCCTTTTAACTTCTAATTATGCTCTATTTTACTATTTGACACGCGCCTATACATTTTACTTTCTAATAATAATCACTTCTGATAAGTGCCCCTTTTATTTTGATACATATACCTGGGCAGGGGCGGATCTATAGCCAGCGGCAGGGAAGGGGGCCCAATTCGTGAGAAAATATTTAGCGGCAAAACAGCCAGCAGATAATTCACTCAGTTGGGGGGGGGGGGGGGGGGGGAGGTGAGCGCTATTTTTTTTTTATTTGCTCCTGAAAATTTGAAAATCGCGCCGGCCGATAATTTGTTCAATATTAATAACGTTTTATTTACCCAGGGTAGCCACTTCAGTTATGAAACTGCTCTTCCAGCGGGCCCTGCATAACATAATATGGTATTACTACCCTTCTCCAATCTAATATGCTGAGCGCCTAGCTAGATGGCAGAAGGTTCCATTCTCATAAGTCTTTGGTATGGCTCGGCCGGGGTTCGAACCCGTGACCTCCCGTTCATGAGTCACCATGCCTGGTTCAGTGGGGGGGGGGGGGGGGGTGGGGGGGGGGGGGGGGGTAGTGAGCACTAATTTTTTTTTGCCCTCAAAAATTTGAAAAATCGCACCCCCCCCCCCCCCCCCCTCTTGAGCGCCAGGGGAGGGGGCCATCTCCAAAAAAAGGTAAAATTAACGTTTTTTTACACATTTTTTCTGGGCCTGGGCCCCTATTTCCTTTAATTCTAATATTCCTTAATTTCTTCTTCTTTTTCTTTGTCTTTATGCAAGGTTTCCTTATCTTTACGAGTTTAATAATATACAGTGAAACCTGTCCACAGCGACCGCCCAAGGGAAACACATAAAGTGGTCTTTGTAGAGACAGGTGGTCTTTGTAGACAAGTAGCATGTTTCAATGAGAAACCATTTTCAAGGGAAACAAAAAATGTGGTCCTTGAAGACAGGTGGTCTTTGTAGACAGGTGGTCACTAAAGCAGGTTTGACTTAATCCATGTCTTCAAATTTCACACTTATAGCGATTCTCAAGAATCTTGTTTTCCCTACATTTTGAGCCCTATAGCTTCTTTCTCTCCACAATATTCCGCGCAAAGCGGGGGTTTTACGGAAGCACCTTCCATTGAAATGTCTTTTTTATCTAAGGTCTTTGGTGCGAGCTTCCCTAGATGACCTTTTACCCGTACCGTAGAAATACGGAGTCGAACCATTTGTTGACGAACTTTTCAATCAAAGCGTTTGTTATTAATAATATAAGCGCCATCTCCGATGTAATCACGAAGATAAAGAGGCATGGCTGTCTCGGCATTATACATTTTATATGTAATTTCCCCAAAAAATCTGTGCCCCAAATGTCCTTGTGTAAGTTGTGTGTCTCCCCTCAGAGGCGGGGGGGGGGGGCAGAGTGCGTCACCCCCCCCCATTTTTTAAAGTAGCCCCAGAGTGCCCTTTTTAATTATGCACCTTTATACTCGGATAAGTGCCCATGAGCTACCTTTTTTTAAGTCCCCCTATTTTCATTTCTGATAAGTGCCCCTTTATTTAGTTCTGATAGCTAAAGTGACCCTGCATGTTACTTGAACAAGTAGGCCTACTTTGATCATTTGCCTATTTTGTAAAGCATGCATGAGTTATAACTTATTTAGAACATTGCTACTAGGATTTCTATAATCTAAATCTTCGGATGTATTATGGTACATTATGTTATTTACTTTATGCATTTATGTGTCATGTACTCGTGTTATTACAATTCAGAAGAAAAAAAGAGGTTTTCTGCTGTAGCTGCCTATACTATTATAATGATTTCCTTCTGTTTCGCTAAACTGCATATTGTAAATTAATTTATTGATTTACATGTTAAAGGGCAGGTCCACTCTAAAAAGGAAAATCCGACAAACCAATCAAAAAAAGTTTGAGCAAAATCCGATAACTAATTAGAAAGTTATGAGTTTTTAATGACATGAAAAACTTTAGGCATTTAATCTCGGTCAGATGAGCAAATTTTGACACCTCATTATTTTGTGACAAAGGCAGGTCACTTTCTTTTTTCCTTATTTAGGAATTTGCCATTTCCCAACAACCGCATAAAATCTCGGGAAATCATGTCATTTCAGCAGCATTTGTAAATCACCGGTATCGAATTAGAAATAAACCACGTTTGAATTATATGTATACACTGTTGGTCATATTAAATGGTGGAATAATTATTTTAACCCCAATTTATTGAATGATTTTGACAATGATTTATTCCTATATAGATCTAAATAATAGTATACATTCTCAGATTTTATTGAATGACAATTCGGGAGTGTTTGTTTTGCGTGACTGCTAAAGCATGTGTGTGCTACAATGCTAATCAACTAGGGGACATACGTCCTCAGGTCATAAATGGCAGTAATGGGGATTAATACCTCATAAAAGGGCACTAATATAGCACATCGACACGGTTTTGATCCTGGCATATCAATTCCTTTCATAGCAAAAGCGCTCCTCACAATTTCTGTAAATTTGGCAGTTTAACGCTACGCGTACCGCCTTGACCGGACTGTGCGGTATCTGTGCAGTTCTGTGTGTAGAGAGGTCGGGCTGTATTCATTATTTCTTGGGGGTGCATAAATTGCTCTAATTATACGTACGCGTGTAATGCGCAGGTTTATTGTGACGGCACTAAACCCATCCCACTCATTGTTCCCCTATTTTCATAATGGTACTGACCCAATGAAATGTAGTGCAGTGCGCTCGTACGCGCTGCGCTGCGTGTGTACATGTACTGTACTTATGCATGTTCAGTTATATGTGTATGCATAGCATTACGTACATGCATACAGGACTAGCTGGCACAAAACCCTGGGTCGGGCTTCTAAAATGGGACATGAAGCATGATTTGACATGAAAATTGACGGAGCTAAAAATGAATCAATCAAAATGAAATTTATATGTATGAAAAGCTTACGTATCATATGTCATTGTCTGTGATTGAGGATTTACAAATTTGACGCAAAACGCGTTGCTGCAAAGTTAAAGATTGGTTTATTGAAAGGCAATCGAGCACAGTGCGACCGATCTATTGACATTGTGTATGAGAGAGTAATTTTTTTAAATGGATTGTAAAGTTCAACGTCAAAGTGACGGAGGTTTTTTTTCAAGTAAGGGCATGGTTTTACATGGAATGTAAAGGAAATGTTTCCTTCTTCTCATATCTCGATTGAGGATATTATTCTCAATTTCGATTTTTAATGGTAAAGAAAAGTGTAAAAAGATGTCGAGAATTTTACCATATGTCATGTAATATAAAATGCGCGCGGGTCGGTTGATCTCCCAAAAGGAGCGCGAAGGAATTGATATGGGGCTCACAGTAACGAGGCCATTGCTTAGCCAATAAATCATGACTGTACGTAGCGGGCGCTAGGGTACGTCGACGCCCCCACAAAAACAAAAAAAACAAAGAAAATGCAATAATTTTTCAATAATTCATTGCATTTTGCCCCGACCCCCAACATAAACAAATCTTCTACGTGGGCATGCCTTGAACCATAATGCATGGTCCTACAGAGGAATTTTTCCTGTTGGGTACTGGGGAGGGGGATGCAATGAATTATTGAAAAATTATTGCATTTTCTTCTTTTTTTCTTTTTTTTGTGGGGGCGTCGACGTACCCTAGCGCCCGCTGCGTACAGTCATGATTCATTGGCTAAGCAATGGCCTCGTTACTGTGAGCCCCCGGAATCAAAACCGTGTCGATGTGCTATATTATATATCTTGTATCTTGTATTAGTGCCCTTTTATGAGGCATTAATCCCCATTACTGTCAGTTATGACTTAAGGATGTAGGTCCCCTAGTTGATTAGCATAATAGCACACACATGCTTTAGCAGTTACGCAAAACAAACACTCCCCAATTATCATTTAATAAAATCTGAGAATGTATACTATTATCTAGATCTATTAGGAATAAATCATTGTCAAAATCATTCAATAAATTGGGGTAAAAATAATTATTCCACCGTTAGGCCAAAAAAAAAATCATTTGGTTGTCCTCATTCGTTTTTTTTTTATATATATTTTTTTAATTCTATTTTTTTATTTTTTTTAAATCATTTTTTTAGGGGAGCAATCTAAACTGCCAAACAGGGGCGGCGATTTCTTTTCAAGACCGGGGGGACGAAATGCGAGGAACGAGGGAAGAGTGACGTAATGAGCAAAAACGTTTTTTTTTTTTGGGGGGGGGGGGGAGAAAAAAATCTGCATCATCACTGCTCTTACATGTTACATGCAGGCCCCGCGGAACGTTTTTCAAGGGGGAGTGGGGGAGGGGGGGCTAAAGTATTTGCGATCAGATAGAGCAAAGCAAGTGGGGCGTAAATTGGCGTGGGGTCCAGGGGCGGAGCCCCATGAAGCTCAGAGTTTTTAGGCATTTAATAAGGGTCAGATGAGAATATTTTGATACCTTATTTGTGACACTTGCATGCAGGTCACTAATCGGAGTGGGGTCCAGAGGGCGAAGCCCCCAGAAACTCAGCGGTTGTAGGCATTAAATTACGATCAGATGAGCATCTAGGGGCCGCCTTAGGGCC